ACAGGCAAGGGGGGCCGGGGCGCGGGGGGGGGCCCCGGGTGCCCGCCCCCTAAGGCGGGGGGGGGGGCGCGGAGGGAGGGCTCCGGCCTTGCCGGTGCTTCGGCGGGGACGGGCGAGCCCTGCTGTGGGGGCCGTTGTGGAGCTCGATGGCCGGGGGCGGGCTGGGCCTCGCAGCGATCGCCCCGAAATGTCAGATTGGGGCTGGTTTCCGTGGCGGGGCTGCGGCTTCTCCAGGGTTTCTGCCCCGAGGGCCAAGCGGCGGGAGGGGGGGGGGCGAGCAGAGATCCCCAGTCAGGATGCCCGGGGCCGATAAGGGCTATTTCCTTTTCCAGCTATTCAATAGGGCTGTCAAGTGAAGGATTTATACGCTCAGCGTTGGTAGATGATGCAGCTAATTTAATAAAATAGTATTATTCGCCGCCTTCTCCATTCTCAGCCCTTCAGGAGGGGTGACTGGAACTGCTGTTTCACACCCAGCCCTCTCGGGTTCTGGCCTGGCACCTCCTGTGGCACCCGGCAGAAAAAGGCAGGAAAACCTTGTTTTCCAGGACCGATGCCCCTCTGCTCTGCCCTACAGCAGCGAGTTAAAACCTTGCAGTTGTAGTTAAGAACTCAGTTATCACTCCCCCCACAGAGTGAAATACTGGAAAGGTTGGTGAGGCCTGCTGTGAAGCGTCCGTGGAAATGCTCATGTTTTGAAGTCGGGCATCCAGTTGTTTTTTTTTAAATCCTCACGCAAAAGCAAGCAAAGTATTGTAAAAAGTAGTTGTTTATTGCAATGTGGAATTGTGAATTTGAATTTAGGATTTAGAGTGTTGCTTGTTACATTGTAATGGTGAGAGACCCAGTGCTTGTCATCGTGAAACTTAGGTAAAGGAAAACGTGATTTTCTTTCTCTGTACCCTTAAACTCCTGTAATAACTTTGAGGAATTGCTTTTTTGGTTTTTTTTGTTTTCCGTTTTAGCCAATTGCCTTGTGGAAAGTGGCATTATTTCTAACTATAAATCAGTCATCTGTACTGCTATTAAAATCAAATCAGGAATTCCCAAGAAGGGCCTCTTTTCTCAGGTTGCAGCGTTGGCAAGGGCCTGGCTGACCACGAGTTCAATTGCATCGAGCAGTCTTATTGTAGGTACTTATGTGTGCAAGTTATCAAAACCATTGCTTTACTTTTACTTGTTCATACAATTCTGTCAGTATGCTTATAATTAATGTTTTAGCTGTGAAGGCCTGGGAATATCAGTGACGCAGAGTTTGTTGGGAGAGGTCCTAGCTTTTATTAGACCTACTTCCTTATATAACTGGGAAATAATTCAGTTAGGATCCTGTTATATAGAAAAATTCAAAGCTAGTTTAATTGATTGCCCCTCCTAAAGCTTTTTCTGCTTATACTAGTTTATAGAAGCTGTTGGGAGTGCAGGGAATACGATGAAAACGGCGTTGTGAAGATGAGTGAGTGGAGTTTTGCAAAGCTAAAGTCGACTGCAGGAAGTTGATGCAATGGGATTAATGTGGCAGCTGAAATAACATAACAAATGCAGGGTAATGCACATTGTGGAAACTTTTGTAACTTCCCAAAGGTGATGGTGGTTGTAAACAAGCTGTCACCGCTCTGAAACGCTCTTGAAATTATTGCGAGTAGGTCTCTGAAATTGCTGTCTCCTACCAGGCACTGGTCAAAAGGGTAAGAGGTAGGTAAAAACTCTTGGAAAAGGAAATGAGAACTCAAGGGGAATGTTGAGCTGATGTTTGAATCTGAGATGTGAGCACCTTGGGGATTGAGGGCAAATGTAGGCAGAACGGGCGTATCCATTTTGAAAGGGATGTTGTAGAATTAAACAGATGGAGAAGGGCATCATAATAATGAGAAGAGACACCTAATTGATTAATTTCCCTTATACTGAAGTGATATACAACTTTATAGAAATTAAAGCAGTGAGTGATAATGGCCAATAGGCAAAGTATCTACTGTTTGTCATAATTTTTGTGGATATCTGTAGTGCTTCTTTTATTGAGCAGTAGGCGAAAACAGAAGGACATAAAGTCCCACAGATGTATATGCAAATTTTGGAGTGGTGCGTTGCCATAAATACTATATATGCATTTGAAAAACTGCACACGTTTATAGAGGAAGAAAAATGTCTGTTTGTTGTTTCAGTGTGATGGTTACAGTGGCAACTCTGAAGGTACTGCTTATTTGAAGGTGTAAGGGCTCGCTAGGACCAAGATTAGCCTGTTTGTTCTGTTACACATGTTTCTCAGACATAAGTTTTTGGCAGTCTGACTGGGTGTTGGTCTGTAAGAGACTTAATCCAGTAGGACAGTTCTTCTGGGTTTATGAACTCCAAGGGATGTGGTAAGTTGGTGGGGCTGAGTTCAGAGTTTAACTTGGTTTAAGATAATCGGGTGATACTCTCTAGCCTGGCTGTCTTTTACTACTCTGGAGTTCAACTGCTGCCTGTCTGTTTATGTGAGCCCTGGTTCTGTCCTGACAGCAGCTGTACATCAAAATCTGGCTGAGTGCTGGTGGGTGTAAGCTGAGCCCATCTATTCCTCTGTACCATAAAATCACAGTGCCTGTTACAAAATACCCCTCTCCTGACTCTGTTGCAACACTAAAGCTTAAGCCTAGCTTGTAAAAAGATGATTTCTAGTAAATTCTTCCTGTCCAGCTACATGTGTCTCTGTATTCTTCCATACTTTTTGGGTTCAGCTGAGAGTATTGCCTACTGTTCCCAGCACTGCACTTGAGGAAACACAAGACCTATGAATTCCAGTTTGTAGAGATCTTGCTCTAATTTTAATGGGAGAAAAAATAATGGTGGTATAAGGATATTACTTAATTTATTAAGCCCGACTTAAACGCAGGAGCTTTTTACTCTTTTTGATGAAAGTAATGTACTTGCAGTAGATAAGTAGTTATCAAAGTAACCCTCACTTCTAGAAGATGTCTTCTTTGTTTTCTATGGACAAATCTCAAGAGGGTTATGTCTGCACCTTGACCATTTGGAACTCTGGATTTGGGGTCAGACTTCTCATTTCTGAACATGGACCTGACTTGTGGTGACATTCAGCTTAGCATTAGGAAAAAAACCAGTTTCAGTTACCTGCTTCCTACTTTGCCTCATGTTCGTTTCTCCAACTTTTCCCTTTGTCATTGAGGAAATGCTCTGAAACTGAACAAACTTGTTGGTTTGGCTTTTGGGAAACACATTTCTTCTTAGGTGTTTTGTGTAGGGAAAAGTGGCTGTGTGACACCTATTGGTTTTTACAACTGCAGCAAGTCCTGTGCCTTTGCTGTGTTAGATGTGAGACACTTTTGTGCTATAATAAACCTTAGATGGTTTAGCCCTTTTGCTACAGAGGTGTGTGGAGTCCCAGCTCTGTGTTACATGTTGTATGTACAAGTTAACAAATGACCCCTACACCCTCAAAGTGCCTTTGAGATGCCAGTTCTCTTTGTGATGGGGAATGAGTGAATAAAACAGGGCACAGGTGAAGAGGCAGATTTATATAAGGCACGATCATGTTAAGTTTATCACCAGTTACCTACAAGGTGTAGAATCAGGTCATCTTATTAACATTGTCTTTAAAGTCCAACTGAATAGGGTAGACAGAGGTGTTCATCACCAGGTTCTTCTGGAGCTCATGAAGGTGTGTCCAGGCTCTTTATTTATATGCCTCTTGATAGCAGAGCTCAATGCAGAGAGAAGTGTTTTCAGACACTGTAATCCCTTAGTGCTCGTGTCCTTGGTTAAAATTGTGGAATATGCAACTTGTGTAATAACTTTTACCATAAACAGTACAGGCTAGGGGTGCTGGACTTCCTATTTTCAACCTGATTAGGTTGTCAATAACACATTTCATGAGATAATTACAGTATTTTCTGAAAATTTCAACTAAGAGGTTTAACAGAAATAAAAATCGGATGAGTGAGCTGGAATGTTGGTGAAAAATTAATAATCCTGCCTTGATGTAGTTCTCTAAATTGCTTTTCGTGCACCTTAGGAAATGGAATTCTTATTTTGGTCTTCTGCAGAGATAAAACTGGAACTACAAAATGAAATTTATACGGTAGTGTGGACTTCAAACTCATTTTTCTTTCTTGTTTGGGGGTGTTAATGCTCTAGATACTCAAATGCATTGATTTAAAGCACGTTGTTGCAAGTACTGAATTGGCACATCGCTAAAGCAGTGAGAATGATGGCCTGGTAGTTGTCACCTGGGGCAGGGAGATCACTTTCAGGATGTGCCAATACAAATCTCCCTTGATGGCGAAGCTTTCTAAGGTGCTGCTTTTGTAAGGGAAGTGCTGGTCTGAAGAAGGATATTGATGGAGGTTTTCAAGAATAGGTCTTGTGGCTGAATTAGCTTAAATGTTTCCTCCAGACATTCCTCCTTCCAGTGCTGATGTAGTAAAGGAATTTGATGATGACGTGATGTTGGGTGGTACAGGAGAAAGTTGTAGCTCAGCACTTGAAGGGCTGTGTTCTGATGAGGACTGCAGTTCCTCCAAACAGAGTGTTCTTCCCAATGTAAGGTTTTACACCTGGGGTTCATAAGAATTTGGTAAAGTAAGAGCTTGCCAACTGAAAGCTAGAA